GATAGTCGAAATCAAACATATCGCATACCACCACGAATTCAGTCCCTTCCTACGTATAGCCAAGTAACAGCGGGAACTGCCTCTAGCTCGCCAAATATACCCCATTTTAGCATTGTATCGTCTGCTTTAACAGTAGACGACAGACGGCACGTGGAGCGTGACAACCAAGTGAACGGTAGTGGCACGGACGGTCATAATTTTTCACCTAATTCCGTATTAATCGAAAATCACGAGAAAATCACCGGACAATAGGACAATAGGGAGAGACAACCTATTAAATGTGCACTTTTAAATGTACAGTGTCTCGTTTCCAAAAATGTAAATAAACTAGAAACACCCGAATTACGGACTTTATTCGATGATTACAGTATGATTTTCTTGACAGAAACTTGGTCGAGTGAATAAATTAACACGAAGGTTGACGGTTTTGAGTTATTTAGTCTACATCGGTCGGAGAAAAATAGCTATAGTAAAAGAAACTCTGGCGGCGTTGCTGTATACGTAAAACTTGACTTGATTGATTTTGTGTCTTTATACAGCACAGATAGCGATGATATTTTGTGGCTGAAAATTGACGGTTCAGTATTTGATTTACATAATGATATATTTTTGTGTCTTTGTTATGTAGTACCGAAAGGAAGCTCAAGAGAAGCTTACATTTTGTCAAATATATATGATAGAGTTTTAAATGATATGGTAAAAATTAGTAGTATCACAAATGATAATTGTTCTTTTATAGTTCTAGGGGATTTAAATAGCCGAGTTGGTCAGTTGAATGATTATGTCAATGATGATGAATTAGATATACATATTAGCTCCTTTCTACCTGATAATTATGTACCAGATCATGTTTTACCAAGAATGTCTCAAGATTTTGGGACAAACCAGAATGGAACATTGCTTTTAGACTTTTGTAAGCAATCTGGCCTCAGAATACTAAACGGTCGTATAGGAAAAGATGCAAATATAGGGAAATACACATTTATTGGTCCGCTCGGAAATAGTTTAGTTGATTATGTATTAGCAAGTGGAAATATTTTTAAATTGTGTGATTCCTTTGAAGTGCTAGATCCTAATATATTATCTGACCATTGTGTAGTAACATTTAGCCTTTCTGCAAAATTGCAAAATATAGATTTGTTAGATGAAAATGTTTGTAGCAATATAGAATATACGTATAAATGGAATACAGATAAGTTACATGATTATAAACGAAATCTGTCTGAGGATTTAGTGTTACAACAAATAAATAATCTTACATCTGAATTAAACGCTGTAGTAAATAGCAATGATGTTGACGAAAACATATCTTGTTTTTTAACTATAATTGACAGAGTTTGCTCCCCACTATTTAAGCATGTACCGAAAAACCCAGTAAACACTCCTGTTATAGATATGAAGCAAAAATGGTTTGACGATGAATGTGCGTCAAAACGAGACTTTTTCTATAAATGCCTAAATGTGTATCGAAATTGTAAAAGTGATAGTAATAAAGTAAATATGTGCAGAGCAAGGTCGCAGTATAAACACATGTTAAGGGAAAAGCGTTATAGATATAGACAATTTAATACAAATAAATTGATTAAAGCCAGGGTTGAAAATGCAAAGCAGTATTGGAAAATGTTGAAAGGGTTATCTGGTAATACCGTTAATTCAATGTCACCTTCAACTGAACATTTCGCCAGATATTTTAAAGGCATTAATAACCCGGAAAATACTTTTTACCAGGCAGATGAAGATATGTTATTTTTTAACGATAGATATTTAAATGGGGAACTTCTTTTTTCTGAATTAGACGCAGAGATAAGTAACTTAGAAATTGTAAAAGCAGTTAAACAGCTTAAGAACAGTGCTAGTGGAGGACCCGATCTATTACTCAATGAATTTTTTAAGCATGGTATAGACATATTACTACCGTATTTATTCCAATTATTTAATAAATGTTTAAATATGGGTTATTTTCCAAGTGCATGGAGCGACGGTTTTATTGTGCCAATTTTTAAAAGTGGTGACTTAAGGGAGCCAAGTAATTATAGAGGTATTACCCTATTAAGTGTGTTAGGTAAACTGTTCACTAGAATTTTGAATAACAGGTTGAATGCATGGGCCGAAAATTATAATGTTTATATAGAGGCGCAGGCCGGTTTTCGAAAAAATATGAGTACAGTAGATAATATTTTTGTTTTAAGCAGCCTTATATCTTATACGTTAAACAATAAAGAAAAACTTTTTTGTGCATTTGTTGATTTTCAAAAGGCCTTTGATTTTGTGGTAAGAGATATTTTGTGGTACAAACTTATTAAATTAGGAATAAGAGGGAACATTTTAAATGTGATTAAGTTAATGTATGAGTGTGTAAAATCACAAGTTAAAGTTTTTAACTCTTTAAGTGAAGTTTTTGAGTGTCATTTAGGGGTCCGTCAAGGTGAATGTCTATCACCTTTCCTATTTAGCATGTTTTTAAACGATATAGAAGATATATTTATAAATAAAGGTATAGAAGGCATTGAGATTGGTACCATGAAACTATGTTTACTATTGTATGCGGATGACATTGTATTATTTTCTCATTCTGCAGATGGCTTACAGAATTCATTAAATGTGTTACAAGAATATTGTTCTAAATGGAAGCTTACTGTCAATACTAAGAAAACAAAAATTATGATTTTTAGAAAAGCTGGACGTCTTCCTGAAAATTTAGTATTCACTTATAATGATGAAAATATAGAAATTGTTAGCAAGTTTAAATATCTGGGTGTTATATTTACGACAGGAGGTGTTTTTAATGAAATGGACAAAATGTTAGCAGGCCAAGCTTTGAAAGCAACTTTTCAACTTGATAAATATTTGTATAAGTTCACACCAATCACACCTAAACATATGTTAAATTTGTATGATAAATTAGTAACGCCTGTAATGAATTATTGTTCTGAAGTATGGGGATTTCACAAAGCTACTCATATAGAAAGAGCGCATCTTAGTTTTTGCAAAAGATTATTAGGTGATAAAATAAGTTGTCAAAATGCATTTGTTTATGGTGAAACCGGAAGAGTCTCTTATATTACTCATAGATATTTACATATAATACGGTACTGGTTAAAGTTATGTCAAAGTGATGATGTTAAATATGCAAAGAAAATGTACAATGTTTTAAAAAGTGATCTTGAATCCTATCCTAATCATATAGGTTGGGTATACAATGTAAAAAGGTTATTATCTAGATTAGGATTTTATGATGTTTGGTTAAACCAGGGAGTTGGTGATGTCAATATATTTTTGAATATTTTAAAGACACGATTGTACGATATATACAAACAGGACTGGAATGCAAGTTTACAGGAATCATCAAGAGCATTATTTTACAGAACAATTTCTAGTTTTAATTTTCAGAATTACTTAAATGTTTTAAATGTAGAAAAATATAGAAAGGCAATGTCTAGATTGAGAATGTCATCCCATAGGTTAGAAATTGAAACAGGTAGATGGAGAAAACCTATAAGCACACCAATTGAACAAAGAAAGTGTAAATTTTGCAATGTACTAGAGGATGAATTTCATTTTATTATTGAGTGTACACTTTACGCTGATCTCAGGCGTCAGTATATAAATAGAAATTACTGGGTTCATCCAAATTATATTAAATTTGTAGAGTTGATTAATACCACAAATGTAGTCGACATAAAGAAGTTAGCAGCTTATATTTACAATGCATTTGAAAAAAAGAACATTGCTGCTATCAACAATTTAGTTATATGTTTAAATGTTAAAAAAAGAAATGTACACATGTGGTATAATATTATACTAACTATGTTTACATGTTTTCTATAAATAGATGCTTTGTCTCTCCCTACATGCATGTTAGTATAGAAATGAAATGTAGAAATAAATCTGTCATTGATGTATGATTACCTACATGTATATCCAGTACAATATTGTTAACACCTATATAATTACATATTGTTTTCAACATTGAATGTTATATTGCTGCATGTACATGGGCCATAAATGGCTTACTACTTAATAAAAGATATATATATATATATATATATATATATATATATATATATATATATATATCAACTATCAATATCAATGATGTATATTTCAACTCTACAAAGCAAAACTTTTAAGTACCTTTACCATGAAATAGGATTTTAAATAATGCATGTACACATATTTTCTGTGTTGGTTGTCAAGATTAATAGTTCAAATAGTAATTTAAAGAAAACTATTTCAAACACACGGGGTGCAACAAGTAAGTTACGATTTTTTAGTTTGAATTTAAGATATATTTAATCATTTTTGATAGCTTTTGCAGCTTTTTTAATCATTTTTTCTTTTTTCACATTTTCCTTTTCTTTTTTAAGATTTTCTCTCGTAAGTTTTCGTTGCTTTTTCAGTTCCGCTTTCAGCTCTTTCTCCTCCTTTGCCTTTTTTATCTCCTAAAAGGCTTCATCGGATGATATTACAAAATACTGACCAATATGTTTTCTTTTTGTAGTTGCTGTTTTCTTTTTCTGCAGAGGGAGAGAAAATAAAGACGAAGATGTAGACTGCAATGGAGTTGTCATTACAGCGGTTGTTGTTTTCTCATAGTACATTTTCCATGTATAGAAAAGAGAATCATCGATATCTTTACCTGAAATATAGTTTCGAATGTGTACACTAATCGGTGTCTATTGTTTTTCATGAAAGAGTGGCTGCCATATTATTTAATTAATAATGTTCAATAAATTTATATTGATCGAAGCTATTTGATATGATATGTTATATGTAGACTAAGATATCATATACCTTATATAAGTTTATACATTTTTCTCACGCTGTTTGAATGATGTATATAACGTACGTTTTCTGAAAAAAAGTTATTACTTTTATATTTTATTTGTACTTTACTTGAAAAATGAAATGTATATGTAAATGAAATTAGGTTGAAGAAAAAAAAATATTTATGTACAAATATGTTAAGGATAATAAGGATATGTTTCCTGTTTTACAAATTAAAACAAACCTTGTTGAAATGCTTCTCTGTATTTCTTTTTCATATCGTCGGTAAGAGCTGACTCAATAACTCTCAGTGCCATATCTGTTGGACATTCAGATACACTGGATTCGTTGGATGAGACTGATTCTATTGCTTCATGTTCTGTAACCATAGTAAGATTCCCACTACTGTCAATTTTTGCTGGCAAATCTATAACCTGTGCACCGGATGATATAACATCAAAACTGAAAACAGTTGATTCTAGCTGCTGCGTATCCGACGATACATGATCGGGTAAAGGCAATGGAACAGGGACTTCACATGACGCTTCTACAACTACATTAGAATGTGGAGATGATGGGAGTGATGGTTGAGATACATTTGGATGAGGAACTTGAGGACCGACTGCCTGAGAGTCATCTTGGCTTGGTGTTGTATGATTGGAATTACATGCAGATGAGCAAGGATTTCTTGTTGTAGAGGGTGTTGTTAATTTATTTTCATCAACATACAAATCAGATGGCGTGTAAGCGATATTGGGAATTGCGCCTGGGTTATATGGACATATACCTGTAGAGACAAACCCACTTGAAATATTGTCGGCATTCATTGATTCATTCCATGATTTAGTGAACATTCGAAAGAACTGTGCGTGTCCTACAGATACACCAGTGTCAGACATAAAAGTTTGAATGTTGGTGTTCCATTTAGTTTTCAATGATTTGAACACAGTTCTATCAAAGGGCTGTGTCCAATGACTTGTCTTGCTTGGTAATTCCACTAATACGATGTTTTCCTTTCGCGCAATTTCAATGAACTCCATGTGATTATGTGAGGCATGGCCGTCGAATATCAGAAGCTGGGGCCTTTCATTCCCAATGTGTTCCAAAAATGTTGATTGAAACCATAAGCGGCCAATGCCTTCTTTGGTCCACCCTGTTTCGGAAACACTTAGATTTGTTCCTAAAGGCGCAAAGTCAATGTCATACCCCTTCATGACTCTTTCTGACTTTCCCGGAAGAATAACATGAGGGGGTATGCATTGACCTTTGGCGTTTCCGCATGCTATAATAGTAACAAGTTCTCTATTTAAAGAGACTTTAGATTGAACAGCACGGGCACCCTTTTTTGCAATGACCTTTGCCGGTTTATGGCTTAAAGAGAGACCTGTCTCATCCATGTTCCATATCCTTTCTGGATACTTTTCAAATTTATTTTCTTCCAAAACACCCTTCAATGCAGCAAAGTATTTACATATTCTTTCTCTGGTCATGGCTGCGTGCCTGCCAGAGGAAGTTGCTTCCGGTGCACGTAGTGAGAAATCAGCATGCCTCGATTTGAAACCACGCCACCACTTTTCTGAGGCGTCAGCAGTGTTAAAAGGAACCTTTGTTTCCTTTGCGTAGTTTCCTACAAATCTTAGGAAGTTAGATTTCGTAAATCCAATACCAAGATCAGCCCTTTTCATTGCATGCTCAATGAGATTCCTCTCCTCTTGATAGGTGAAAATTGTCTTTCTTCCCCATTTAGAGCCTTCTTGTACCTTTCCTGTGTACCTATCACTTAATGAAGATTTAGGTACACCATACTTTTTTGCGGCAGCTCTAAGTGACAGAGTCTTAGAATTTACATCAATAAGAGCTCTTGACATGGCATCATCCGAATACCTTTTTTTATCCAGTTTGTGTAAAGACATCTAAAAGAAAATGAGAAAAAGTATGAAGACAGGTAGAATGGTAAAGACAGAATATAGACTATTTATCTTGAGAAAAAAAAAGAAAACTAACAATTGCTATTTTTTTCAAACCTTTTATTCCCGTGAAAAATCATCATCCGTTATCACTAAACTTATTTCCCCCAAACGCTTGATTTCAGGTATATTTAGTACATCTTCTCTAGCAATCTTTCTTGCAAATAAAACGATACTTTTTATTCCCTCAAATTCGATGTCCCAGTTGACACTCAACACTTTATTTCTAACATTAATGTTAAATAGGACTAAATCTCTAAGGATGATATAGATGTCATTTATGAGTGGGTGGTCGAAATAGCATTCTTTCTCAAATAAATAGTCTATTTCTGTCAATGCTTTGTCAATGGTAAAACAGTTTCTTGATCCGACTTCTCGAAGCCATATCTGGTTAACAATATTCTTTGACATCCTGTTAATTAAAATAGCAAGGTTTAGTCAGTGTTCATCTTACGATATTAACGTACAAGGTTTTGATACTTATTTAAAGCACTATAGTTACTACAAAAAAAAAAAAACCCAAAAAACTGAACAAGTGTTAAGCACATACTGAATTTATTGAACGAGTTGCATAAAATTATAATACTTTAAACCTCTGGAGAGAGTAGAATTATTTAATTCGCCGAGTTTTATAATTTTTATAATACATTTTACGATCCAGGATTTTATTACATGCCATACAAATAATATCTTACATTTAAACAAATTATTCACATTGCATAATTATTTAACATTGTTTTTCACTATGTTTATGACCAGTTGTAAGCATTCTAGAATTATATTGCCTAAGTTACGGACCTTCAAAAATTGTACAGTTTGCGTACTTGTGATAATACCATTTATTTAATATCAACATTAAGTGGCGTTTTGTTTAATATCTCATAACAATGAAATTAAAGTTTTATAGTATAAACGTCACATATTTGATCAACACATTTGATCGGTGTTCAAAGAAAATAATAAAAACTTATAGATAAATGTTTCCCTCTTTTAAAATGAATATTGAATTAACAATGCTTAATAATACATTAAAGAACATATTTTTTATTGAAAAGAATTCAAATGAAGTAGATTCTAAATCTAGATCTATATAAAAAGAAATTTCCACCTATTTTAGATATCAAATAAACAAACTTATTAAAATCTATTTTTTGCTAATTAATGGTTTAATTATGATGTTACAATGCCTAAAATGGCATTGCCTTTGAGTCGGACACTGCGTCCGACTTAAGGGCGAATGACAGTTATTATGAAAAAGTCAATAGTATTTACTTCTACAGTTCAAATGTTGAAATTTCTTTTTATAAACTTCATTTGAATTATTTTCAATAACAAATTATGATATATCAGATATAGTAAGCCAGTTTTATACTTACGTTGGATAATGTAAATGCGTTGACAAAACTAAAATTTTCAAATTTCCCGCTCGAAAACTTTACAAATTATAGGTTGTTGACGTAGAGTGTTACCGGAAGTGCACAATCACGTGATAATACGGGTATGTACTAAAATATTCATGACTAGTGTTTAGATTGTCATCCAAGGACGTTTCAAGCATTTGTATAAAAAGCGGAATACAAGGGAAGTTGTCAAAGTTGTCCGACATAAGGGGTCAGTCCGACTTAGGGGCGAATTACCCTACACATTTTTTTGACTATAGTCTAGATTCAGTGTGTGCAGAAATTTTCAAATTTGCAGTATTTATATGCACGCACAGTGACGCACTTCTGAAAAAAAATTTCCATTGGTCAATATTCGTGACGTATACATGTGTCACATGCTATGCTGTTTGAGACAGATAAAGTTTGAGGTTAGTTAATACGCATAGGCATTGAATATTGTTATTAATTAGCTTTCAACCCATACGAGATGCTCATACCTTAATATACTCTCACTACTGCTGAGTTTTGGTTCGAAAATAAGAACCTTAAGTACTATGCACTCAAATTAGTTTGTGAAATTTCAAGCAATTTCCGTCAGAAGTTTTGGAGAACCATCATGCAGGCCAATATCAAACCAATGTGTGACGCCGGCATAGACGTCTATAGATGTTCTAGACAAGTACAACTGTACAATATAAATTGGATGGTCATTTCCAAGAACAAAGTTATTGGTTGTCGGAGTGCTGAAAAAATATCTCTACTTAAATATTGCCCAGTTGTCTGACATTCTGTTAGAAAAGAAACAACAGAGAAATTTACATGATAGTCACCCCAACACACCCCAACTCCCCCCAAAAATACATGAATAGAGATCTAAAAATAGAAAATTAAAAAATAAATATATATATAAAGAAATAAAAACATCAACAACATCAATACAAAATTCGGCCATATACACACAAGGAATATGGAAACTTGTAAACCAACTTTGAGGTCCAAAACGTTATCCATATATTTGATGCAATACATGTTTCAATATTGAACTAGTTTGACCTTGCACAACTGATTTGAGTAAATACAACTTTCTTTTTACACTGGCCTAGTTTTATATTTTCAAAAAGAACATGCATTTCGCTTTCGCCTCATTAATACAGTTTGAAATATAAATCAAAGGGCTGCATGCTCTGTGGTATTTTCCGATCTTTCCTGTATAAGTTTATTTTTATATACTATTATTCATCTTACGCAGGGACTGCGTTTAACATGCAGTTTGTGATTGATACATATGGAATTTTGCATGCTTAGAGTTGCATCAAAAATCATTTTTCATTTTTTATTACAGCCACACTTTATCCTTGCATATCGTGGCAACTTCCTTAAAAAAGCCACTTCAAAAAAAATGTTGCCTCGACAAGGATTTTAACCTCAGGCCTCTCACATCCTAAACGAGCGCGCACCTCTGCACCACAGTGAAGTAATACGTATGTAGCGTGAATGAAAACAAATATATTGTAATTCTAAAATTGAGAATTTTCATTTCGTATTTGTAATCCTTATTTATTTTGAGGTATTTTGTTCACGATAAACCTGTTGTTAAACACTGATGAAAATAATTTAGCGAAAATCTTCTCGCCAAAACAGTCCGCACTCAAATTAGTTTGTGAAATTTCAAGCAATTTCCGTCAGAAGTTTTGGAGATACCATCATGCAGGCCAATATTAAACCAATGTGTGACGCCGGCATAGACGTCTATAGATGTTCTAGACAAGTACAACTGTACAATATAAATTGGATGGCCATTTCCAAGAACAAAGTTATTGGTTGTCGGAGTGCTGAAAAAATATCTCTACTTAAATATTGCCCAGTTGTCTGACATTCTGTTAGAAAAGAAACAACAGAGAAATTTACATGATAGTCACCCCACCACACCCCAACTCCCCCCAAAAATACATGAATAGAGATCTAAAAATAGAAAATTAAAAAATAGATATATATATAAAGAAATAAAAACATCAACAACATCAATACAAAATTCGGCCATATACACACAAGGAATATGGAAACTTGTAAACCAACTTTGAGGTCCAAAACGTTATCCATATATTTGATGCAATACATGTTTCAATATTGAACTAGTTTGACCTTGCACAACTGATTTGAGTAAATACAACTTTCTTTTTACACTGGCCTAGTTTTATATTTTCAAAAAAAAACGTGCATTTCGCTTTCGCCTCATTAATACAGTTTGAAATATAAATCAAAGGACTGCATGCTCTGTGGTATTTTCCGATCTTTCCTGTATAAGTTTATTTTTATATACAATTATTCATCTTACGCAGGGACTGCGTTTAACATGCAGTTTGTGATTGATACATATGGAATTTTGCATGCTTAGAGTTGCATCAAAAATCATTTTTCATTTTTTATTACAGCCACACTTTATCCTTGCATATCGTGGCAACTTCCTTAAAAAAGCCACTTCAAAAAAAATGTTGCCTCGACAAGGATTTTAACCTCAGGCCTCTCACATCCTAAACGAGCGCGCACCTCTGCACCACAGTGAAGTAATACGTATGTAGCGTGAATGAAAACAAATATATTGTAATTCTAAAATTGAGAATTTTCATTTCGTATTTGTAATCCTTATTTATTTTTAGGTATTTTGTTCACGATAAACCTGTTGTTAAACACTGATGAAAATAATTTAGCGAAAAATCTTCTCGCCAAAACAGTCCGACATTTATATATTCCATTACTCGACAGTCAGATTTATTTGTGTGCTACGCTCTGGAGCATTCGGTAATCGTCATAGCTAAAAATAGCATTTTCATTGATTAAGCTTTACGGAAATAGTGGAACATTTTTTATTGGGTAAAAAAGATATTCATCCGCGAAATTTGTGATTGTAAACTCATATTTCTATTGACTAATGTAAACTTTTAATGCACTGTAATTCGTTCAATGCCTACATTAAAATTATTATTTCTTTAAATTGCTGGTTTTTAAGCAGTTTTGAGTGAGAACTACTTTGTGTTGTTAGGTCTGTGAGGAAATTTTGTGTTAGACCGTGGATGTTAGCTATGTATTTACTGATCTTGCGATCAGAAAATACAAAAAAAACGACATTTTTCGGTAATTTCGTGATTCTCGTGCGATATATACAATTTATCTCAAATCTCCCGAAACATTAACTTATGACTGTACGGAAGAGCATTAGTACCAGGTGTGTGTTTTTTATTTACTCGAAATTTTGACTTATTTATGGAAGCGTATATGGTACATGCTGTTGGCGCGTTCATGTAGGGGGATACTAGTTATGGTATGTCAACATACTTCAATAGAACACATTATGTCGACATAAATAAATTGACTTGCCTACATAATATTACAGTATCGCTACTTAAAGTTTTGCAGCATACTAATATATTCACACATTTGCTACATATATTATTGCGACAATTTTATAATCAAAGCACTGAATGTACTGATGGGGAGGCTATGAGAGAATGTTTCAGACTTATAGTGTCTTTTCTTTTTGCTTAAAATATGCTACCAAAATAAAAA